TGTACCAACCTAAAAACGCTGAAACCTCAAAATATTTACAGTTGCATTTCATATCTCAGTGTAAAAAGGCATTGGGAGCGGGCATTGGTGTGGTATCGTTATTTTGGGCACCCCTGGGACTGACCACATCACCAAGGAGTCAAAACTTTGGAAGAGCCTTAGGAAGAAGTTGCTGTAGACTCTGCAGTGTTTAGACAGAATAGAAGAGGACATGAACAGGAGGACAGGCCCTTTCAGAATTAACATTTGTAAAGAATGAGGTTGAATTCGGAACAATTGTACTGAGGTAAGTTTTCAATTTAATTTAAAAAAAATCTCAGCTGAAGCACTGGAGCTCAAAAGACTCAAATGAGCAAAGTGTTGTACTGAGACTCAGAAATACTCAGAAGTGCTTATTGAATTGAGATCTTTATTTCTCATTTTAAAACATTTTAATATTTTAAACATAATTTAAGGATTCAGTATGACTGCTCCTAATTGAACTCTTACCTAACACACTGATCATACTACAGGAATCAAACCCTGCCAGTTTCCCTCTCCTTATTTTCCAGTCTCTTGACATGGTAGGGAATGGAAACAAAGCCTAAGAAAAGGGCAAAATAATACATTTTATCAGATTTATAGGTGACTTCATGGACCCTGTATAGAATTAGCAATTCCTCAACTTGCAGATCTTTCCTAATGCAGTACACTACCAATGGAGTGCCTGCCTGCTTCCTTTCTCATTGCATTTAGATTTCCCCGCACTGTTGCCTTAGGCTGTTAGAGTATCTAGTCTATAACAAAACAAATGAATTACCTATAAACAATTAAAATGTATAAGTACCTGCTTAATCTTGCAATACCCTCAGAGAGAAGAATGCACGTGAAGGAAACAGTCAAAGCTATTTTGATTAAGATCGAGGTATTAGGGCCTTAAAATTTCAGACTCACTCTGCCAGGAACATCTTGAGTGATAAATGTTTACCCAGTATGATACTTAGTTCCATGAAATACTGATTTCATAACTGGGTTTTATGATTTACCTTCTTAATCAGGGACAAAGTGTAGTCTTGGAGCAGAGCACAAGATAAAGACTTTATGTGGAGGAGCTCTGCAGAGACTTGGGTAAATGAGAAAAAATCCATCACCACCCAGTGCTACCACTGAGTTTGCAGTCTGAGGTTTCCAGCTTCTGCAAGGCGGCAGCCGTTGATTTCCACCCTTTTAGTGATAAACTCAACAGCTCTTTCCTCTGGAGAGTGCCACCCACAAATTCCCTGTGCGAACAATTTCAAGCCTCTTTCCGTATCATCCTTGCTGCACTTATACTTAATATCCTGGCTGGGTATTATACTTGATCTGCTCTTCTCAGGCTCCTTAGCAAATAGATACTTAAAGACTCTCAAATAAAGTGCAGCACAGCTGACAATGTTTTTTTTTCCCAGAAAATAACGCTATTTCCCGAGATACCTATTTGCATGGGTCTGGGTCACCCAGAAGAAGTGGAGCAAGATCTTCTACCTTCTTTAAGAAGGAGATCTCAGCTTGGCTGAATTCACAGGAAAGTATTTGAGAAGATATTTTCCCTGAGAACAAAAATACTTTGCCATTAGCAAGTGTGCTGTCCCTGTAGCATCCCACTTTCCCAAAACCCCAGTATCCACCGTCACCCAACACCACATCTCTGACTCTATTGAGTGGTTGCAATCCATTTTCCATCCTTGACTGCAAACAGGATAATGCTCTGCTCCAAGTGCAGCAGAAGGTATTGACTTTCACTTCACAAAATGAAGCAAATATTGTGGTGTAACTTTAAAACCTTTGAACTCCCAACATTTTAGAGGCTAGATGGAGGCAAACCTAAGATTTTGTCTTTCCATGTACCCACATTGAAGACGTCTTTGTACAGAGCACACCAAAAAAGCAGGATGGACACTGTGCAAACATGCACATCTGGCCCAAGTGAATATGCGTGTACTGATCCTAAATCTCCTGCTCATGCAAAACTTACAGTTGGCTCATTAGGAAGTATTTGCTATTCAACAGAGGAAGGAGACTGGGCCACTGCGAAGTACAAGGCAGCATTAAAGTCCAGCTGTAGCTCAAAGGCTGGGAAAGCTGGAAAGCTTAAATGACCATGAAATTTTCATGATCATACATCATTGCAGGAAATTTCCATGTGGCACAGTTATTCACAATTAGGAATCTGGAAATTTTTCTTTTGGGTTTTTTTAATCCAATTTAAAACTAAATTGGCAGGTTCGGATTGAGGAATTCAAAACCTTGCTCTCTGGCTACGTGGATATTAGGATTTGAGGTTCTGTTTCCGGATCCTCTTCAAACATGAAGAAGGTGCAGTAGAAAAGTAAGTTAACTAACTTCTTCCTATTTATGAGCTGTTCGGTGACATCTTAACAAACCTTCAGCTGTAGCTAATATGGAGTATCACCTATACATGTTTAGGAAGCTGTGAATATAAAATTGAAAACCTTCTTGATTTCAATGGATGTATGAGATGCATGCTATCATTTCCTTGTAGAAAGAAAGGCATAATTAATGCAGAGCAACGTGGAAATTATATGCTATAAATTTGAAAATGGTTTGAGAGAAATATTTGAGCAATCAAGACAAGAAAATTGTACTTTCTAAGTACTCATAACAGTAAAGATGAATGTTTTATCATTCACTGAAGTAAATATCTGCTGTCAGGAGGAAAGCTGACTCAAATATACAGTGTGAAATCTTCAGAGACAATCTTGCTTCCAGGCTTATTACAAGTTGGAGTGATGATGTCAAATGGATAGAACAATTTAATTGATTTTATTTCTCCTCAGATTCACAAAGCATCTGACTAGAAAGAGCAAGTTTGAAATACAAACTCCTCTCTGCCCTCTAATGATTCTCTGGAACCACAGGAATCCCTAAGTAAGTAAACTGACCTCCTTTTTGCTTTCTGGTGTGAAGCAAACAGGTTTGTGTGAAAAGCTGGAGCCTAAGCTCAGATTTAACTGGTGTACTTGCTAAACTCCATCTTACAGAGCAAGTTGAGATACCACTGACAAAGCTGAAATGGGGCAGAACATCTTTTGCCTGAACCTCCCTATTGCTTCTTCTGCTTGTAACACTGAAAGCAAACATACATGCAGTTACGGTCATTGGGGTACAAAAGAATTAATTGTTTGTTTGTAATAGTCAAGAGAACATTTTTATTTTGAGGTATTTTTAAAGTTCATTTGAACCTTGCCAAACCTTAACGTTTGAGAATGAAAATGATCAGGGGTTATTGCTTTCCAACTGAGTTAATAAGCCAATCGAAAATGACACCAGCCATGTGCTCACCTTGGGTGTACACAATTCCTTAGAAGTGGGATGTAAGACCTCTCTGTTGGCTTCAGGCGCCACTATATTCCATTGCCCTGGGGACTATCTGCTGGTGGGCAGCCTGATTGAAATAAAACCCCTGCTGGAGCCCTCTTTTTTTAAAAAAAAAAAGAAAAAATTCTTATTAATCCACAAAAGCATTACTACAATGATGAAAATGGTGAGGCACTGGCACAGGTTGCCCCAGCCCTGGCAGTGTTCAAGGCCAGGCTGGATGGGGCTTGGAGCAACCTGGTCTAGTGGAAGGTGTCCCTGCCTGTAGCAGGGAGGTTGGAACTAGGTGACCTTTAAGGCCCCTTCCAACCTGAACCATTCTATGGCTACTCTATGATTCTATGAAAAAGTAGCTGCTTCCTCTCAGATCACTGCCCCTCTGATTCTGGGACCTTGGTAGCACAATTACGTGGGCAATAAATGTCAATAGCACTCCTGTGTTGTGAGGGAACTCAGCAGGTCTCAGTAGGAAAGTAGGATCATTGTGAGTCAGTATTTGGCTGGGAAGCTGCCTAGAAACCTGTTGGTAGTCATCTGCTTTGGGAAGCATAATGGGTGATTCAGCAACCCCAGCCTGAATCACTTTGAAGCCAGCATGCAGGACCTACTGGCTGGGATGCAAAGCTAAGGCCTGTTGGATGCTCTTGAAGATCTTGTACCAGCCTTTAGGTGCAAGAGCTTTTACCTCCAGAGAGGTTGTGCTTGTACTTGCAACTCTATTAGCACAGGACAGTCTTGAGTTTCTCCCAGTTTGACTGGGGACATCCTTTCTGGCAAACAGCTGTTCTGTATAATGGCATGAAGTGTGCAGTACACATGACCTCTGTATTGCTCTGTAAATTGTCTTAGGAGGGAGTGTCATACCTGTTGCTCTGCTACAAAATGAGGACAGGAAAGAAACATTTATTTGGGATAAAGTCTTCCTCTTGTGATACGATCACATAGTGCCTAGCATTCCTGAGGCTTGATCCGGCCCTGGCTGGGGCCTTGAGAAGCAGCTGTTCCAATACAAACTGCAGCCACCATCAATGTGACTCAAAACAGCGTCAAACCTCTGCATCTGTCATTTAGATTACCTGCATTAGCATAAATTATAGTCTGTTCTGCAGGAATTTCATGTTCTGGGTTGCTTCCCAAAGTGTATATCCCCAAAGGGAAGAATGGAAGTTTCTCTGGAGTAGAGCATTCACTATTGCATCTTGAATTCCCAATTATACAGCAGCAGACCAGCTAACAAGAAAGGTGGAAGCCAGGCTCTCCTGGCAAAATCAAGGGAAGGGGAGATGGCTTTGTGAAATGGGGTGCAAGACCCAATCAGAGTACATAAAGGGGGTGCAGGCCGGCTACGCAGTGCTGGCTGTGGCTGACTGTCAGCCTATAGATGTGCAAGTTCTGGATGTGTAAATATCCAGCGCAGGGAAGAGGCAGCGCTGCCCACCCGCCGAGGGGCTCTGCGCGCAGAGCCAGCACCGCGACGGGGCAGCGATGGGAGGGTCTACCCGGGTGCCGGGGATGGGAAAGATCGGGGACGCGCTAGGAGCCGGTAGGATGGAGGGAGGGGAAAAGCGGGAGAGGAGGGAAGGGGGTAAAGGGAGGAGAAGGGGAGGGGACAGCCAGGAGGGAGGGGAGAGGGGGAGCTGAGGAGATGATAAAGCCGGGGAGGAGGGTGAGAAAGGCGAGCGGAGCCGGGCGAGCGGGGATGGGGAGGAGGAGGGCGTGAGCAGGGCTGCTGCGGGGCCGTGCCCGGTGGTGCGGTACTGCCCGGACGGCAGCGGCGGGGAGCGGGACGGCGCCATGGGCTGCGGAGGCAGCAGGGCCGACGCTATCGAGCCCCGCTACTACGAGAGCTGGACGCGGGAGACCGAGTCCACCTGGCTGACCAACACCGACTCCGAGAGCCCACCGCAGGAGGGCGGCAGCGCCGAGGCGGGCGGCCCGCGCCCCGGTGAGTGGGGCCCCGCCGCTGGTGGGCCGAGCGGGAGGGGCGGTGATGAACACCTGTATGCACATATATAGATAGTGCATGTAGGCGTGTATGTCCCCCTATAGATGGTGCATGTAGGTGTGGGTGTTCACCTATAGATAGTGCATGTAGGTGTCTATGTCCACCTATAGATAGCGCATGTAGGTGTGTATGCCCACCTATAGATAGCGCATGTAGGTGTGTATGTCCCCCTATAGATGGTGCATGTAGGTGTGGGTGTTCACCTATAGATAGTGCATGTAGGTGTCTATGTCCACCTATAGATAGCGCATGTAGGTGTGTATGCCCACCTATAGATAGCGCATGTAGGTGTGTATGTCCACCTATAGATAGTGCATGTAGGTGTGTATATCCCCCTATAGATAGTGCATGTAGGTGTGTATGTCCACCTATAGATAGTGCATGTAGGTGTGTATATCCCCCTATAGATAGTGCATGTAGGTGTGTATGTCCACCTATAGATAGTGCATGTAGGTATGTACGTCCACCTACCTATGTGTTTCACCTGCTCTGCAGAGAACGCCTTTTTCTACACCAACCAAGTAACATGCACACCCCGGGGTCTGTGCTTAAAGATGTCGTGGGCTGCCCACAGCACCACTGAGCGCTCCGGGCTTCTGCTGGTCCCCAACCTCCAGGCAGGATTGTGGCCGTTGGCCCCTGGGCGTTTCTCTAAGAGCTTATTCAATATCTAGAGATCTTCTCTCCGTGGTGCTTGGCATGACAGAGAGCATATAAATGCCATCAGCAATGCAGTAACATCACCAGAGGGGAACTTGGCCTTTGAGGCTCTTGCTAAGGCTTTTTTTGCAAACCAAGTCATTTGGAAATAGGTTTAGAATAAGGAAGATGTGGTGATATGCCAGCCTTCTTCCACACTACCTCAAATTAGGATGATACACAGAAAACTAATCAGATGGTTGGCTGCCCCAGAGCTGACCTACAAGCTGGAATTTCCCAGTTTTTCTCATTCTGAGCTGTGCACATAACCTATTATAGTAGGGACAGAGATGGGGAAGGGAATGAGGAGCTCTGAACTGACAGGGGGTTTAAAATATTTTAGAATTATGATGTATTGCAGTGGTATCTAGAAAGCTCCAGCAATGAAGGCTAAACACAGGGATTATTATCTCTGCAGCCACACTTAGCATTACCTGTGCTCCTTAGTTTACTTAGCTATTACTGCTTAGCTACTTGGCTGCTCTAAGTTTAGTTGGTGCCTAAACATAAATGGAAGCCAATTAGTTCAAGATTTGATATTGAACAGGAGGTGATAAAGAGGTAGACCAGTAAGTATTCTTCCTAGAAACAGGTGATGCTTGAGTTTGTGTTTACAGATGAGAATACCAGAAATAAAAAGAAAGTAACACTGAAGTCCAATAGAGACTGATTAGGGTAAGAGAAACTCTTTTACAAGAAAACTTTGCAGAAGAGATTAGAGAGGAAGGGAATGAGGACAGGAACAAAGGAAGGACTAGTAGGACTTCAGGAAGGGTGAGACTGACTCTTTAACACAGCTGTGGTGGCAGGATTGCGCACAGGTCCTGATTAGTACCATCGAGTACCTCATTGAGAGCTGCTGTGGGTTAAGGCTTTAGGTAGGAAAGGAAAGGAATAAGGAGAGGTACTCCAATGACTAGAGACAGAATGTTCAGTGAATTTACAGATGAAAGGGAGAGGAAGCAGCAAATGGAGGGGCAAATAAGGTCAAGTATGAGTTTAAGATGTGAAGAGGAAAACATGGATTTATTGTGAGAACTGAAAACTACCTAAGAGTGAGAGATGAAAGGGAAGAGTGAGGGAGGGGTAAGAGCAGGATGGGGGAGAGAGAAGATGGAATGTGACACTGGCATAAGTGGAGGTAGGAAACTTCTGTAACTGAAACATAGAAAGGGAGGAGGTAGCTGGGGAAAGGGGGACCAGCCAAAAGGCAGCTGGGGAGAAAGGAGTGAAATTGTTCTTTGTCATCTTTTGTTTGGAACAAATGGTGAAATTCTGTTAAGAGAGAGAAGTGGAGACAGGATGAAGGAAAGATTTGAGGAAAAAGCTGTGATTGTCAACATCTTTCAGGTAAGTGGGGAAAAAAAAACCCCACCAGACACTGGACATCAAAATGGAAAGAGGAGTAAATCACTCAGGGATGAAAGAATGTATAGGATACAGGATCATAAAGTGTTAATAACTACCATATATTAATCTTAATAATTTCCTCCCACCCCAAAATTTTGTTATATCCTTCTCTTTTTGTCAGCCAGCATCTGCCTTTCTGTGTTTGCTCACTGGAGCTATATGTATTTGTGTGGCCAAATATTTGTATTTTTACTAAAGCATTCTGAAAGTTAAAGTGTTTTTAAATTGAAAAGGAGATAATGAGATTGGTTTGTTTGGTTTTTTTTAATTTTCCCTTTGCTTTTCCTTCCTATTTCAACTGATCCTATTTCACTTCCCTACTTGATTTTTTACATCAATTTTAACGAAGTGCATTGCAAGCTCCCTATTTTTGACAGGAAGTTATATAGAGCAGCATCAGTTGTTATAGTATAGCTGTATAATATAGACAGACAACTTTTCCTAGGTTCACAAGTCACTAACAGCTGTGAATATAGGTGATAGCAGCTTGTTGCAGTACACTGCTGAGGCTTTGACAGTGATGAATAGAGTAAATTGATCCTGATGAAGAGCGGTAGAAGAGCAGTATGTACCTTCATGAAGCACTGCTGGTGGTGAAACTGAAAGACATCATCTAGGAGAGAAGCGTATGTACTGTTCTTAGGCTGGGTGGTTTCCATGAAGGGGGAAAAAAGGAAAGACTCACGGTGAGCCCAAACAATAGTATGATTTCTCTTAAGAACATCCACTGCTATGTGAGTGAACAACTTTTCACAGGATTCGGCTACTGCTATAGTTGGGGAAAATAATAGGTTAGATTTCTGCTTAGTAACCATTCTTTGATCTTTGCAACCCCTTGCACAAATTGCCTTCTCTTTAGAGGGTCTGATTCAGCTAAGTGGAAGAGTTAGCACAAATAATGACTTTCTGGAGAAGTAAGAATCTGTAGGAGCAGGAGAGTCCCTGGGGCAGTCGCCACAGGTTACAGCAAACCGCAGGGGAAAAGCTGAGTTAACAAAAACTGCGCAGAACCTGTCAAGTATTGGAACACATTTGCATAGCCTGCTGTGTTACACCAGGGTAACTTGCTGATATATATATATATGTGTGTGTGTGTGTGTGTGTGTGTGTGTGTGTGTGTAACTTCAGATGCACAATTTCCTACCAGAAACCAGTTCTGTAAAAGTGCTTTACAAACCCATTCAGTATCAACTATAACAAAACATTTTTTGATGTTTCTTTAAAGCAGGCTTTAGGTCATTTTATTTCTATTTTTTCTATTTTTCAGTGTATTCAATTTATTTTTTTTAATTATACTTGAAATTGCCTCAATGGATAAAGCAGCATGTTGCCTCGTGGTTAGAGAGACCTTATAATCATGATTTACCTCATGGGCTGCAGATGCCTTAGGACAGAATCTTTCCTTGTTGTTTTCCAACAGCAGCCAGCACAGTAAGATAGGCTAGACATTGTACTGAAATGCAAATAATAATGATTAAGTTTTAAATGGTGCAGCAGCCAAGTGAAAAATAATTCTTTTGAATTAGAACTAAAAAGCTGCATATTGATTGCGTCAGGGCTCACTTGTTCAGTTCCTCAGCTCATAAAACATTAGTTTTTTTATCATTACTTGACTCTCAGTATTGGCTAATGCTTTAAAAACAAACATTGTTTGTTTATTCTTTGTAATTTGCACTGTTTCTAAAGTAAAGTCATTCTTTCCTGGAGCATATTAAGGAAAAACGTTATCCATGTTTCACACACTCACCAGGGACTTGGGAGAAAAACTTGCTCGTGTCATCAGCAAATGTACCTACAATCAGGGGTCTGCCAGGAATGGAATCTGAAATCTAAGATCAGTTCATCCCCTAGTGAAGGCATTTACAAAATAACTGAAATGGGAGTAGAATCAAGTCCTTCGTAAAATGAATATAGAAAATTAGCAGAATACAGGAGAAATTTTATTGTGTTGTAGCAATCTGGCTGGCTAACAGTTTGTCTTGCATAGTTAACTTATATATAGTTGTGCATTTATGAATAATTCTTGCTGTTTTCTCTGGGGTTACATGTCCAGTTTATGCTGCTGCTCTTATCTTTTCTGGTCTCTGACAGCTGTGGGAAGTTTTACAGTCCAGGTTAATCTTTGCAGCTGGGCTCTGTCCGAGACTCAGGATGCAGAATACAGGGTTTCAGAGGTAACCTTGCACAGAGAAGTTTTTGAGGATTGCTTTTCCATTCTTCACAGTAGCAGGACTGGGAGCAGCACAGTGGAAGAGCAGGGCTGTGCGCACACCAGTTGCCATAACAACAGGGACTGGTGCTGGTCTGGACCACAGCTGCAGGCATCTGCTCTTGCAGTTACCACATGTTCGTAAAGATAAAACCTTAGCAGGAATGAGTAAGCAAGCATCAGGTTGTAAATTAATAACTTGATGCAGCAGATGGCTCCTTGCAAATTGGACTGCAGAGAAGTATTTAATAAAAACTCTATTTTAGGTTAAGAGCCAAAGAGGGATCACTTTTACTAGTGTGTAACATTGGTATATCAGGATCTCTTTCTGCTCTTGTGTCCATTTACTACTGTTTTTTTATTAACAGGTTTCTTTTAAATCTGGTATGTTTAAGAAACAATTTTAACAGTTATTCTGATATTTTCAGGACATAACCTTATTACAGTTCAGAATTACAGTAAAAGTGAATAAATATAGCCTCTGTCTGGACTGTAGGCATATTACAGGAATTCCATATCCCACCGTAGCCAAGACCCTGGCTATAATGATGTAATGGGTTTGCATGGCAAGGTTTTGGTAGCAAGGGTAGCTTCTGTGAGAAGCTGCCAGAAGCTTTCTCCA